TTATTGATCCAGTGTTACTACAGGAGGAAACCTAAACTAAACTAACTTTATTTATACTGGATAGCTCTATCAGTTCTAAACTGTTCTTCCTAGAGGTCCAGTAAGGATCATCTCTTATTGATTCAGTGTTACTACAGGAGGAAACATAAACTAAACTAACTTTATTTATACTGGATAGCTCTATCAGTTCTAAACTGTTCTTCCTAGAGGTCCAGTGTTACTACAGGAGGGAAATAAAAGACACACGCAATAGCCATCATGCCACACCTTATAATTTATTCTCTCTTCATTCAAGCGATCCTCAAGAAAGAAGTGAATCCAATAAAATGGGACATTATCCAGACTGCAGTCACCTCTACTGGAGGAGAAGCGATGGAAACTTGAACATCCAAATGAACATTTCTATCTATGTTTACTTTAAATATTCACATTCTATTGTAATAAATCTTTGTTAATTAACATTGAAACATCCAGTGACATCCAGTGACTGTCAGTAATATTCTTGCAAGTATGCCGGATTCATAACAGTACATGTCGACTTGTCCCACAGGAGAGTTTGTATGATTGGCTGTGCTCAAATTCATGTGTGGACAAAATTGTGGAAACTTGAGTATATAGTCCCGACTTTGTCTGGCCCTTTGCAACCTCGTCCCTCTGGGTTAGCCCCTGTGTGAATATAGTCTAAAGCCCAGATGAAGTGAGATGAGAGTAGAGTTGGCAGTCATGATCTTAATGAAAATGTACCATTTTTGGCACAGATGTAGCCTAAGGTATGCAGAATGCACCTATGAGCCATTTTTTAAATATTTATTTTCTAACACGATTTATTGTAAAAAGTCTATATGCAATCTGTTTTACCCATTACCATAGCAACCATAGTGAATGACCAAAAAATGGCTCAAAGGAACAATTTAATATCCCAGCTTCATTTTCATTTAGATAACCATATATTTGAAGAGATTTTATGGGGGGACAAAAGTGGCCTTTAGGATCCAGTTTTCATATCCTACTCGGTTCGTTGCAATCTCGTTCCCCGAGCCGGAAATCCTCGGGAAGGAACATGAGGTCTGGGATAATCTGTTCCCGGAAGCCGGGAATCCTGGCTAAGAAAGGCTAAGATTGAACTGCACATGTATTCCATATCAACGGCCAATCAGATTCCTCCCTGAAACGGATTATCCCAGAGCCTTGCATTCCTTCCTGAGGATCGCAGGTTCAGGGAACGAGATTGGGTTCTTTGGTGTCAAATTTTAGTTTGATAACAGAGATTGAAAAATTTTTGTTCCATCTTGGAGCTGAAGATCTGTAGTTTCCAAAAATATATAGTTCTTACAGTATTTAAGATGCTTAATAACATGTCTTATAACAATAGTTAATCAGTCATTTTGAAGTAGAATTGGGGTGAAGCTCCCCTTAAGAGGTTAGCTGTTTTTAATGCTTTTCAACACTGCATTTCATTTGAGTTAAATTGTTGTTGAAACGCTCATCAAACCAGCTGAGGCCAATTACTCACATTCACACATGAAATACAATAAAAGTTTAATTTAGTTCAATACTATAAAACACTAAAAACCTTACTAAAACTATTTCACATACAGTAAGTCTAATAAAATGAAATATATTAATTCTTTAAGAATATACAAGCAAGCTTATAAAATCTCATCAGTTATTAAATAGTAGGAGAAAGCAATGTAAAGCTAAAAGGCACAACTGATTAATTAAGCTGCAATGTGCCCCACTGTGCCGACTGCCGTAACACCTGACAAATTCACAATCTTTCCTTGTCAGTGAGAAAGTGTTTGGCAAGAATTAAGAGGGACTTTTAAGCAATGTCAAATAACATTTCATAGCTTCACCTTTCACCCGTAAAACTTCAAACTATCACACATGTTTTGCTTGCTATTTTGGTTCAAGTAAATTAATGTAATCCTTGAATAAATTACATTTACACCTCTTACTTCAACCAACGAAAACAGCAAAAAAGTCTGATATTACAGTATATCTAGTTGTGCAGCAAACATTTTACTTTCAATTAGTTTACAGCTAAGATTTGAGCTATGGCATTTATACAGTGCTTGTGTGCAGATTGTACACCTGTCTATAAATCTTATTCAAATTCACAATTTCATTAATTCATCATAATATTAAGTGAGAAATGACTGATAAGCATTCTTTGCAACTTCATTGACATACTTCACATCAGGTCGATGATCAGGGTCTGGGGTGATGCACGCCTGCACAAGGTCTCGAAGCTAAACATCAAATTACATGTATTGGTTGCTGTCAGATGTGATTAGTGCACTGCTTTTTTACTGTTGAGAGAAGCGTACTACTAAATATGTCTAGAGGGCATGGGATTTACTTGAGATTGCTTATTATATATCTTTCTTCTGTACCATTATAATTCCATTCTATCAGAACTTTTTACTCAAATATTCATTATGAATAATCATGACAGCCATTTTATCATTATTCAAATGTTGTAGTTTAACTTAATTCTTATAACAAGAATCCATTTTCCACCTGTGAAATCACTCGCTAAGTCGAGTAGTGTTTGTCCCCCCCCCTCACCTGTGGTTCAAGAAATTTTTTCAGGTTCCCTGCCTCACTGAAAATTACCCACCCCACCCCACCTTACAGTAGCTGTGCTCTGTGACCAGATATAAGTGGTACCGGTATTGTAAAACTCACCTCCTTCGAGTAAATATCTGATGGCAATGGAGGATAATCACACTTCTCAATTTTCTTGCAAAGTGAGTAAAGATTCATTTTGTCTCCATAAAATGGTGACTGTAAAGCTGCCATCTTAAAAAATACAAATGTGTAAAAATTGGAGAGTTTTAATTAGTGTTACAGAGCAGTAACTCGTTAAGTCGTTACAGAGCAGTACCGGTAACCTAAAAGTCATTAACTTCACATGTGGGCAAGCAAATTTTGACAATATATTACCTCGTACAGTAAGCATCCCAATGACCAGATATCTGAACGAAAATTGTACCCATTTTCATGAATTCGTTCTGGAGACATGTAATAAGGTGTGCCAACTAAATAATGAGAAAACAAAGCATTGCATAACTGTGACAATTCACTAAAACAAGCCCTACACCCAAGTAAGAAAGTGTTTTTACTCACCTAACGAGTGAGCTGCTGTCGTTTTTGAACTAAAATATCTTCCTAGCCCAAGATCCCCCAGCTTGACCACTCCTGATGCAGTAATGAATACATTTGCTGGCTTGATATCTGTCAAAATAATCAGATTGTGTCACACACTTGATGTTAACAATCTCACATATGATGCTTTTGATGTTACCGTACTCTGAGTGTATATCCACACTGGGCATGCGTTTTCTAAAGGTCGTAGGTTCAATTCCCAACATGGTCAGGCATATTTTTCAAGCTTGCCCGGTGTAGATATACACTCAGAATAACATCAATCTCACATATTTCTGACACCAAGCACGGCAGCTTATTGCAATTATAGAAGCCCAAAAATTTCACACAGTAGATTATATACCTCGATGCATAACTCTTCGTGAATGCATGTGATCTAATGCTGCTGTGAGTTGAACAAAATATTTCCTATAAACCAGAGATATTGAAATTAAAAGATTTGCTTATTTTTAATACAGGACACTGAAATGTCATGTCTTACCAAATTGTTCTTTCTGGTATCAATTTATTGTTTTTCTTGAAATGCTAAAACAAAACAATTGAATAGAACAATCAAACTTGTGCATTGACATCCCAATGAAGGGCTTTCGCTCAACATGTCGAAGTTCTGTTTGTGTATCCTTCACACCAAAGCTTTTAGTACACTACAATCCAGGAAGTAAGGAAATACCTTTATCATTCGAGACAAATCTCCTGCATCCGCTAACTCAAGCACAATATTTAGCTACAAAAAATAGAACAAAAGTGTAAACTTAATATTTACTGCACTGACAATTACAAAAACAATTTCGAGATAAATTAGCACTGAATATCATACCTCATTATTTTCAATAAAAGATGATAAATACTTTATCACATTTGGGTGGTTCAATTGCTGAAAGATAGCAAGGCATCATGTATTTAATCCTGATTTAATTGAGTATTGAATTAACACTCAATTCTTTGTTTGCAATGACATGATTTTGGGATTTCTGTTAACAGGCAGGTATAACTTTATTTTACCTTCAACAACTCAATTTCTTTTATGCAATCTTGTCTAGCCTTTGCATCCATCATATCAAATATCTAACCAACAATAAAATTGTCAGACAGCTAATAATGTATAAATTAATTCTTCGCAAAACATGCTTTGAACATAATTTGAATAATTACATTTGAAAATTTAATTCATTAACCTGGACTTTTTTAAGCGCAACTATCTGGTCATTAGCCACACACTTGGCTCGATAAACAACACTAAACTGGCCACGACCAATCTTTTTCTCAATCTCAAAGTTAGATAAAGTGCCATATATTTCCTCATCGCTGGACGCCATTGCAGCAGATACGATTCTGTACTGGGTTATTTCAGTCAACAGATCAATATCTAAAACTGGAAAATTTATGAATAAATATAAAGTCTCAGTAGTGGGGGCTAATTCATTTTCCAGCTAGCTCAGAGTTTAATACGATTGTGAACTGTGAAGGGAAACACTTTCAAGTAGCAATGCACTAGCTGATATCCATAGTAGATTAGTGGTATAACATTGCAGTCAGACATGCACATACTGAGTGCTTGCACTTGAAAGATTGGAAATAATATTACCAAAACCATGAATGCTTCCTCTTGCCCAAAAAAGAATGTGTCATGTTTTCATGTCAAAACATTGAGGAATGAGATTACAAACATTTCACATCTTCTCAAGCAAGGGGAAGGATTTGGCGTGGTTTTGGTAATATTGTTTTCATAAAGCTCCAAAATTCCGAGCGTGTAAACTCAGCATTATACTTCATATTGACACAAGGAAAAAGTCGTGAAATCTCCTACATTCAGCCATTTCCATATAGAGTAAAGACTTTGCTTTTTCTGCATTTATTCCTATTATTATAGTGATTTACTTTGCCATTTCCATAGACTTGCACTTTATGTTCGACTGCAGTGTTTAATAGTGTATCATTAATATTTAAAGTACAAGTGCTTTAATGACAAAAAAATCACTTGGCTACCCATAACACTGAACTGATAAGATATCATCATCAACAGCAAGTGGATTTTAATATTTAAATGTCTCATTCCTCTTTTTTGATCAGTAATATGCTTGAGAAATTCCAGAAGCATGATTCCATAAATTTACATGTATAATTTAACCCATTGAGTCGCATTGTGCCCTGATGCGCCCTACTTTTATTATTTTACTATGTCTAACGCCAGACGATTTTACTCATCAAGGGGAAAGCACTGGCGCTTAATTTAATGGGTTAATAAAAAAATGTTTTGATCAATTTGATGTACCAAGCAGACAAAGGGTGTCTGAAAATGTTACTAATTCCCAAAGAAGGGTCTTTGCTTGAAATGGCAAAGTTGTAATGTCATATTCAGTTGTATGTGATACACACCAGTACTGTTTTTATGTATTGTAAATGTTTTTTCCACTAACATTTATTTTTCTCTGTCTAACACCAGACGATTTTACTTGTGATGTGAAGGGGATAACACTAGCACTCAATTGGTTAATCAGTTCAATACAGTGCCAATTTCTGGCAAGAGACATTCTAAATTCTTCAAATTATATTGCAGATATCAAAGACAAGAAATCAAAGACAAGAAATAAAAGCAAAGTCAAAGTTTTGTGCTAAATTTGCTGTTCTCAAAAACAAATCCTTGCTTTTAGGCTGACAACAGTGCACATTCAACAGCCATTTGGGAAAAATCTATTGCCATGGCTATCCAGTATTTCAATCTGGAACCATATATTTATTAATATATCTGCCCTTGCACGCGATTAATATTCTTATTTTGTTACAAGCTGCAGGATAATTATTGATAATTTATACGTTTATATATTATACAAAACATTTCTTATGAAGAATTTTATAGTAAAAATACAATTTAAAACGTAAAAATGTAAGATATACAGATAAAATTTATACATAGTACATGAAATGAGATGTTTCCCCCAAGTATAAAAGACATCATGCTGAATATTATTAAACATTTAGGTAAATGTTTATGCATTCGAAAAGCCACACTGCCTGACAACAAAATTGAAAACGTTCCTACAAGCTTCTTACAGCCACAATTTCAAATAAAACTAACTTTCAGTAAAGACAAGGTCTTCAAGCTTACCTTTAAACAAAAATCATCGCAATCGGAGTTGAAAATGTGAAAAGAATCGCAGATAATCCTCAACGATTCTTTTCTCTCAGTCCTTCTTCGGTTGTTTGGGATTATTGACCAAGTCACCGAGTGGTTGTCGAAGATGGTCCGGAATTTTCCGAATGATCAGGTGCGGGCGGGAGAAAACAAGGGGGAAAGTTCAGGTGTGCACCACTGATCTATATAGGTGGTCACCCACTGATCTTATAACTGAAAATACCTGAATGTATACACAGGTAGTACGTTACTACATTGTTTATTTTTGTGTGTTGTGCCATGTACTCAGGTGAATATGAGGCTTGTGATGTTACTCTGAGTGTGTATCCACACCGGGCAGGCTTGAAAAATATGCCTGGCCACGGTGGGATTCGAAACCTACGACCTTTGGAATACTAGCCCAATGCTCTGCCAACTGAGCTACGCGGTCAGGTCGGTTCGAGTATGCGATATTTCGGAACAGAGTCTAGTTCCTTCGATATCAGTGTCATGATATTTGTTTCGTTGATATCAGCGTCATGATATTTGTTTTCTCAATATATGATGACAGCGCTGAATTTTGACATTAAAATTGCTATTATAGTAAAGGACTGAATTTCGATATTAAAGATTTGAATTTTGGTGTTCGCAATTCGCACTTCTATTTGTCCAGTTCATCCAGTTCTTGTTGCTTCGGAATCTGTGTATGGATAAAATGGCAGACAAACCCCTCAAAAATTACGTACGAGCAACCATAGATATAGGAGATCTAGATTGCTAACGCATACCTAGCGCAGGTGGGGCCTACATGATAAATCCAAGATGGCGGTACAACAGGGCAAAAAGACTATAGATTCTATTACGAAAATCAGGATTTTTGCATTTTTTTTGCCGTCGCATTGTTTCGAAACTTATTCGGTTAAATTTTATGGTAAAGAGAAACTTACCGCGAAAATTTTGAGCATATATATGATTGAATTGGATGAAAAATCGCAAAATTATCCATCGATAAAAGTTCGTGTGAAATGGTCAGTTGGTCAGTTGGAGCGTTTTATTGCCAGAAATACTGTGCTATGTTAACATCTAGCCTTGCGAATGGTGTTTTATACTTGCATCTCTCATCATCATCTGCTCTGTCCTCATAATTATGAAAAATGAACTGTTATGTACCCCCCCCCCCTTGCTTGTTAGAGAAGTAAACTGATGAGAGCACTGGATGAGGGTCTATCATCTATGGTCTGTTATAATTTGCTTTTTATGCAAATAGTGAGCAAAAATTAAAGCAAAACTGTACAAGTTACATATATAGTACTATATCAGTACTATACACGAACTTTTATCGATGGATAATTTTGCGAGTTTTCATCCAATTCAATCATATATATGCTCAAAATCTTCGCGGTAAGTTTCTCTTCACCATAAAATTTGACCGAATAAGTTTCGAAACAATGCGACGGCAAAAAATGCAAAAATCCTGATTTTCGTAATAGAATCTATAGTCTTTTTTGCCCTGTTGTACCGCCATCTTGGATTTATCATGTAGGCCCCGCCTGCGCTAGGTATGCGTTAGCAATCTAGATCTCCTATGTCTATGC